ATATTTGAACATAAAACCTTGCTATAATAACCCCTCAATGAAAATAAAATAGCTTAAACTTCTGTGCTTTAAATAGGCTGCTCAAGCCTATATGTGCTTTAAACAGTATACAACTTCAACTATTTTCATGTTTTTGTGCTTCTTGATTCAGCTTTCTGAATCATTCTCACACTGGATGCTTGGCTCCTCTTGTCGCTTCACTCTTCTCCCTTTTTTCATCTTGCTTGTAGCTTCACCTCAGCAACTTTAGCCCTTTGCTGTTTGAAAGTTATCGGGAGAGCGGTTATGATATATTTGGGGTGATGCACCCCGTTAATATTCCTTTCAAAATTAAAATTTTATATGATTTTAGATAAAAAAAGATTATATAAGATTTTATTTTTAAAACAAACTTCTAAAAATAGTTATTGATATAATGAAGATTATGTTCATTGGCAACAAAAAAAACTATGTTTATTACCTTTTAATAATCACTTTTCTATTTTTATTTTTTATAGAGGTGATATATTTTTTCTGTTTCTCTATTTTTTCTAATTTTTTAAACATTTAAAAGTTTTAAATAAAAATTAAAGCAACCTGTTTTGTAAGATTTCAGTTTTTCTGTTTTTTAAAAAGCAAACTCATGGACAGAACAAAATTTGAAACGAGATTGGTAGGGAGAGATAAAATATACTATTTTGAGCCAACTATGGGGTGTTTGGATGATTGCCCCCAAACCATGGTTTGGAAAAAAATTACCCAAACACCCATTAATTTTTTGAAACCATGGTTTTATCATAAAACCATAATTTGCCTATCAAAACCAAGGTTTTATAGTAAGCAAAAAATTTTTGCTTTTTGAGCGGTTCTCCCCCCACCTCCTACAAATTTATTTTTTGGTTGAAAACAATTATTTATTTTTCTAAAACATAATCTTATATTTTATAATTACATATACACATATTAACAATTACTACATCTTATCTTTAATATAAGACCTTATTTGACTTTTATTTGGTCCTAAATATAAAACTCCAATCTATTTTATTTCTCACATTTGTCTATTGTTTTTCAAGTTATAACCAATAAACTTGATTAATAGGGATATTGTAGAAAATGCAACACCTATTTATTACAAATAACTAACTTAACTTATTTTTTTAATCTACTCAAATTAGTCAACTAACTCTTACATTTAGAACTGGATATAGTAATTAATATATATTTTTATACATTGTTTATTATGTTGGCAAAAAAAATTAATAAATTTATTATTTCGGTCTTTAACGTAGGACCTAATTAGAGAGTTAATATTGATCTTAAATGTAAGATTATTATTCCGGTCATTAATGTAAAACCTAATTGGAGAGTTAATATGTAGACAAGGTCTTAATACCTTCATCAATAGAATCTTCATCTCACATGGCTCGACTTCGTGACTCCATAAGAGATCAAATTGTTTACTATATACAAGAATAGTCATGGCCTTTTTATTTTCTTTTTTCTTTTCAGATAATGTAATGTGTTGTTAAAAAAACTACTTGGACAAATATATTTCGTTGCAATCTCTATTATTAAGACAATTAATATGAAATTTTTTGTGGTTATTTAATTTTGTGAAAAAAAATTATGGGATTTCATCTGTAAAATTTTTAAGAAATAATAATTATTTTTTGGCAAAATAAATCATTTTCCTAAAAACATATTTAATTATTTTATTAATATATATGCACATTAATTTTTTATTATTTATATTATTTATGTCTTATTTATTATGTTGTCAAAATATATATTATTAACAAATTTATTACTTCAAATAAACATATATTATGAAATATATCTTACATGTAATTATCATTTAAACTTATATCTTTTTTAGTAATTTCTACATCAAAAAGTACTTCTGACAACAATTATCTAAATACTCTCACTTTATCAGAATCACTTTTTCAGAAAATCTATTCTTTCAAAATTTATTCTCTCCAAAATCTATTTTCCAAAAGCTATTCTCCAAACCATGATTTTGTCTCATTCAAACACCCCTACATTTATTGCATCGCAGTCAATTCACACGCAGCCCAAGACATCAATTTTTTTATTTCATTTATTCATTAGATGGTTTGTTGAGCAGTAAATTATGAGAGGAGCTATGAATAAGCCATTCAAGGGCGTGCTTTGGTGGAAGAGTATGTGGGTGTGTATATTGATGTTGATATTGATAATTCTGGTTAGATCCTAGTCTAATTATTTCAAGCGAGCTAGTAAATTCTAGTCTTTTTCTTATAATAAAAGAGAAAAAAATAAAAAAGAATTTTAAAAAATATATAATAAGAGAGTATGGTAAAGAAAAGAAAATAAATAATTAAAAGTAAAATTAAAAAATATGCATTAAGTGTTCAGACAAACCTCCAATTGAAATTTATAAAATAAATCACACCCTCTCCAAACTTAAAGGTTATAAATAGGACCAAAGAGAGTAATAGTTCTGTTGAGCCATGTAGTTTCTTTATGTGCATGTCTATAAATGTTATTGGGGAAATCATAAAAAAGATCTTAGAATTTGAAAAATACAGATAAAGACCCATGACAATTTCACTATAAGTTTCAGCAACTTCATGATATATTATTATTGTCAAAACCCATAGTGAACTTGTTACGAGTCACTGTCTATGTTTTTTAAATTCCGGAATCTTTATTTGCAATTTTCCCAATGTTATTTCACTATCATTAATACAACTTATTATTTCTATTTTGTCCATTATATGTCAATATTTTCAATTTAAAAAGCCTGATTGGACTAGTCGATTAAACTTGTTCGATGGGAACAATCTAGTATCTAATATAATCCAATACTAGGGGTAAAACCAAAAATCGGTTTAAAATGGTATAAAACCAATAAAATCATTAAAAAAATTAGGCATCATTATTATATATCACATCATTCAATTTGGATACTATGCAATAATATCATGTGAACTCACTTCAATTTGTAGTGGCAAGAAAAAATAACCTATTTCAATTTGCTCATTATCTAAACCTATAGTATAATTTTTTTGGGATAATTTTGCCAAAATTTTGGTTTCCAAAGTAACCGCTTCCAATTGTCTAATGCATTGCATAAGACCTTTACTTTCGTTCCCACTTTTCTTTCCGTTTCTTTCTGTACAGCACTATGACTATCCAATGATATGCCAATTAGAATATACTTCCTCTAATCCTAATCGTAAGAACTAATTGACTAATTTAAAGAGATTAAGAAAAGAAGTTAAGTTAGTTATTTATAATAAATATGTGTTGTCTTTTCTAAAATATCCCTGCTAATCAAATGTATTGGTTAGAACTACTATTATTAGAAAGACTACCTTAGGAAAAAATACATAAATATGATAGACAAAGTGATTACAAATCTTATATTTAAGATCAAAATAAAAATCAAACAAGGTTATATATGAAGGACCAGAGATACTATTCACTTGGGGATAAGGAAAAAAATTCATCAAGATGTGAATTTTAACCAATATGAAAAATACTCGCATGTTTTCCTGTTTATAAAAAATACTCGCATGTTTATCATTTATAAATAATATGACTAATTTGTTATAAATTTAGAAAAATGTATATTTGGTTTTTTTCACTTCTGAAATGATTATTTTATTTTATTTTTAAATTTTTTAGTGCTTATTAATCTTTCGATTTTCAAAATATGATTAAAATTTTTTTAATTCCTAATGTTAAAAAAATTTTATATTGTGTGCATAAAAGTCATGTCATTAGTGTTATTATACATAATTAATATAATAATTATGATTAAAATATTTATAAGGCTTAAAATAAATAATAATCCATAAAAATATTTTTATTTAAGTCACTAAAAGTCACAACCTGATTAAGAAAGAGTTTTATTTTAAAAATGTTTCAATATAATGTTTGATTAAATTTACAACCGTTAAATAAATAAATTTTATGTCTTTTTCTTGTTCAACTAAATTTTATGTCTCAAAACCTTGTGGTAAATCAGTTTTATTTGTTTAGGTTGTAAATATTTATTTTTAAGATGTTAAAACTTACTCATTCTAAGCATAAAATTTTCAGTGCCAGAAGTTAAAATATTAATAATTTTTTTTACTTAGGTATCAATTATTTAAATCTTAAATAACATTTTAGTTATAATTATCAAATAATTAATAATACTTGCGAGATCAATTTTGACCACACACCTATTTAACATCACTAAAAGAGAAGATATGTCTGTCTAATATCATAACACAAAGGTTTAAGAAAAAAAATCCCACAAAAAATGTTTGAAATTACAAAATCCTAAATAAGAAATTTTTATAAAAATATGTTGTTATTTGTAAGTCTAGTATTGTCAAAATATATTTAAGTGTGTTACTAGACCTAATTTAAAATTTACTAATTTTAAGCTTCTTTTGTGGCATTCTCTCAAGGTTTAACTATAATAGATAGAACCTTATCATTATAAACTAAATTTGAAATAAAATCAATTGATATAATGTGGTTTATATTTGGATGGGCTGTCACAAAAGATTTAGTTTGATATAAACTTGTTTAGATGATATATTAAGAAGTTAGTACAAGATACAAATATGAAGAAAATCAAAAACTAAAATCAACAAACCAACGTCTCGACGGAATGTCCTTGGTGTAGGCATGACTTGGAAGATGCTCTTCATGCTCTCCGTGACTGTCCCGAAGTCAAATCAATGTGGGTTTCACTGATTAAACCCAGCTTTGTCGATAAATTTTTCAGTTATAATATTTGGGACTAGTGCTGCATGAATATAAAAGATACATTTGGTAGAGAGAGAGAGCAGTGGCGGGAGCTGTTTGTTATCGTTTGTTGACTTGTTTGGAGGTGCAGGAATGAAAAACTTTTTGAGCACAAAAGTAATCATGCACATGGAATTATCAGCAAGGCAAAGACGGTCCTTCTAAGCTATGGAAGGGCCAAACTCCAATTACATAAATCAAATATAAGGGGAGCACGGAGCTCTCACGAGATGCAGCCTAAGCGGAGTATTGAAGATGGGATAACAGTTTGGGTGGATGGTACCTTCTCACATATATCTGGGAAAGCAGCTTGTGGTGGACTCATCAGGAATAATGAAGGCAATGTGATGGAAGCCTTTATGCTGAATATTAACAGTGGAGACCCCTTAGTTGTAGAAATTTGGACATGTTTGATAGGATTTAAACGAGCATGGGAAGGGGGGCATAGAAAAGTCACCCTATTAAGCAACTCTTTGGAAGCTATTCAGCTTATAAAGGAAGGAGCCACTGAAATTCATGAGAATTGGGACCTAATCCAAGAAGTTGGCAACTTGCTCCAGCGACAATAGATGACTGAGCTTTGTCACATTCGAAGAGAAGAAAATATAGCAGCTGACTCTTTAGCTAAGCATGCTCTTAACTTACTTCCAGGACTCCATTTTCCTCACCCTGATGACATTTGTAATTTTATTTCCTACCAAGTAGCGTAGCTGTGTCTTTTATTCCCTCCTTATCAAAAAAAAATCAACAAAACCAAAAAAAATTTTAGCGCATCAATGGCTAAAAGCAAATTTATCGCTAATGCTATTGCAAAATTTGTAGTGATAAAATTAACGATGGAATGTTTCCATGATTAACTCTAAGGATAACAAATTCCAGTTTTCTGACAAAAAAATTCTATGACTAATTTTTCTCCCCAAAATGCTTGCCACAACTAATTTTATCTGTAATTACAAATTTTATTATTTTATATTCTAATCTTACAACAATTTAAATAATAATATAATAATTATTTAAATTTATTTTTAAATTCAATTATGAAATAAATTGATGTATTTGTGAATTAGTGTTAATGAGGGCATCATAATGGTCTATTTCATCATTAGATACTTCTTGAAATAGGAAGATGAATTGTCAAAATACTCTGCTTATGTTTTATTAAAATCGTTTCCTCTTGAGCTTTAATAAAAGTGAAACAAATAAAATAAGAATATTAACAACCTTGTTAAAAAAAATTAATATAACAAAGAAATAATTATATTATCTCGACAATATATTGAAATACGTAACACAATATACGAACCCATAATCAACAAACAGATTTATATGCAGAAATATACCTCATGTATAATTACTAACCAAACACTAACGTTGAAGGAAATTTTGAATTTAGATATTCAAACAATAAAATTTAAAAGCTAAAATATATTTTTAATCTTTTAATCCTAAAATTATTAACAAAAATTGATGACCTTAAGATTTTAAATGTTAATAAAATATTCTTAAATACGAACATATCAAATTTAATTTTTAAAACAATCATGATTGTTAAAAAAATTATCATTTAAATCTAAGTTAAAGGAATAAAAATATACTTTTTAAAATTAAAGGACTAAATTAAAATCTTATACAAAGTTAAAAGACTAAATATATACTTTATCTAAATTTAAATTTGTCACATAGAGTAATTAGATTTTATGATAATCAATTTTAAATAATTATATCTGTTCACTTATTATATAATCACAAAATAATTTGGTCAAAGGATATAATTTGATTTTACAATCCATATTAATAATTAGTGAGAAAACTAGAGGAAATATTGTATTCTCGTCTAAAATACAATTGACAAAATATTATAATTATAAATTTATAATATTTTAAAATATTTTTTAAAAATTTAAAATCAAAATTTATTTCATTGCTAATTAATTTTGGGAAAAATAATATAAAATGAATCTTAAAAATACCGATTGACAGGGAGATGCTCTGAAATTGCGAAATTTACCTGCGGTGTGACGTGTGAGATTCCTCAAATGAGACTTCAAAATTCAGACAAAAAGTCATCAATGGCCATTGTCTGAAAAAATTCCCTTTGCTCACGACCCCGCCAATGGATCTGTGACCAACCAATGAAATGTAATGAACAACTAAGCAATAAACAGAAAGAATGACTTTATTAATTACTAAGAAAAAAATTGTTAAGAGATAATGAAACGTAATTAACAGTTAAACAAAATTTATCAACAACATAAGATAGTGACCTTATTAATTGTTAACCAAACGTTATTACTTTTCCGGTCCTTAATATAAGACCCATTTAACTAATTTGATTAAATTAAAAAAGTTAGGTAAGTTAGTTAATTATAAGAAATGTGACACGTTTTTCCTAAAACACCATAATCATCTTTTTTAATACCTTCTCTCCTTCTTCTACTTGATTATGGTTGAGGGAGTATCCATAGGGGTAATTTAGAAAAAATTGATAAATATGATAAATGAGTTTTATATTTAGGATCAAAACTAATTCAACAATTAAGTCCTATATTAAGGATCGGAGCAGTACTATCTAATATAGTTAATAACTAAACAAAAATTGTCAATGACCTAAAAGAGTGACCTTATTTGTCACAATAAATAAATAAATAAATAAATGAAAGAGTGACCTTGTTAATTGCCAAACCAAAATTGTTACTCTTTTAGTCCTATTTATATGATAAAGAGAGAAAATTTTTCTGGTTCTATTTATAGGCTATTAAGAGAAAGTTTTTATATAGATGAACAATTTTACCCTTCATTTATTATTGTGTTAACTTTGTTTGCATAAAGTATAATGTACTACCTCCGGTCCTTAATATAAAACATTGTTTTACTTTTATTTTGGTCCTAAATATAAGACATCAATCCACTTTGTCTCTCATATTTATGTATTTTTTTTCAAGGTAATCCTTTTAACAATGATAGTTCTAGCTAATACACTTAACTAACAAGGATATTTTAGGAAAGACAACACCTATTTATTACAAATAACTAACTTAATTTCTTTTCTTAATATCCTCAAATTAGTCAATTAGCTCTTATAATTATGATCGGAGGTAATATATTAAATAGGAATAAAGTTGAAAGTTGTTGGATGTTAAATGAGATTTAATGAAATTTAAGATTTTTCTTAGTTTGTGTGAAACATATTGAAAGTGATTTATAAATAGGATTAGATGAGTAATAGGTAATGAAATATAGTAAATAACTAAACAAAAGTTGTCAATAACCAGTAGTCAAAGTTAAAGAGTTAACTTATACTACCTCCAGTCCTTAATAACTTTTATTTTAGTTCTAAATATAAGACTCTAATCCACTTTGTCTCTCATATTTATTCATTTTTAAATAGTTTTTGTAATAATAGTAGTTTTAGCTATTATACTTGATTAAAAATGATATTTTAGGAAAGACAATACCTGTTTATTACAATTAACTAATTTAACTAATTTCTTTAATCTACTTAAATTAGTCAATTAGCTTTTATATTGAGAATCAGATGTATTATATTATTTTGTATTATAATGATAAAACACGGTGGCTCAATAATTTGTTATAATTTTAAGTTGCAAGATCAAATCTCACCTTCAATACTTTCCTCCAAAAAAAAATTCCTCCCATTGGTAAGTGAAGGGGAAGCTATGGTAGTTAGCCGCTGGTATAGTTGGAAATATAGGCGGTTATGCGGTGTGGGTTGGAGTACCTCGTATTTTGGCTGGTTAGAAAAATGCGAACCCTAACCCGCCATAACTTTTTTTGTAAATTCTCAATTTTTAAACCTTTTTTATTTAATTTTTTAAATTAATAAATGGTGATCCAAAATTTCAAAAGCAATCAAAGTATAAATTATGTTTAACCATATTTAAAATAATTAATACAAATATAAAACAATACATTACAAATATTTGACATGATTAACATTCAACATCAACTCATCAAGTGATAAATTTTATAATTTTTTCATATAAATACCTTGTTTGATACAAAAACTATCTCTTAATAAATTAGAAGTGTATCTATCTAATTTTTTTAAAGTTCATTCACCATGTTTTTTTAAAACACTTTTTTGCCGTAATAAATATTATCTTATAGTTGATTGTAGTTATTAAATTTTTGTTATAAATATAGTATCCTTATTTTTTAAAAATAGTTTTTGTTTAGATATGTATTATGTAACATGAAAATTGAAATGTGAATGAGGGAAGAAAATTTTCAAATATAATATCATATTATTTATGTAAAAAACTTTAAAAAAAAAAAAAGCGGCAGGTTAGGCGCTAACTAGCCAACCTGCAGGCTAGCTCGTCATAACTCGCTGGTTATACGGTATGAGTTAGAGTAGCCTGCATCTTTACAGGTTGGCAAAATACCAATCTTAACCCGCTCTTCTATGGAGGGTTGGCGGGTTGACCCGCAGGCCCTAACCCATATTCTCGGCTCTAATCGTTGGTGAGGAGTTTGAGAACTTTTTTTTTTTAACAAAGAAATTTATGACTTTTTGCTTGAATTTCAAAATCTTATTTTTCAGATTTTATGCCTCATACAAATCTTACAACCTTAGAGCGTCTCTCTATCGTTTAGTATTTTCCAAGTTCTTTTTGTCTCTTTTTCATTAATTATATATTAAAAATAAAAAAATATAATATAAATAGTAATATAAATATATAAAAATGATTTTAACATAGTTTTTCAATAATATGATGTATAAATAAAAGGGAGAATTGCAATTAGGTCCCATTCAAGGGAATTAAATGCAAAAAAATCCCTTGAAATCATGAAATTATTCTGAAGTCCCAAGGACCTTTTTGCAATAAATTTTATTTGTTTAATTACCAAATTACCCTTTTTTTTAAATTTTGTATTGACAATTGAAAGAGCAGTGGTTGACAACTCAGGGTGCAAGGATTGACAACTATCGCGGCTGGTTTGACAACACATTTTCTTAGCATATCACACCATAAGTTGTCAAACCAGCCGGGATAGTTGTCAATCCTTGCACCCTGAGTTGTCAACCACTGCTCTTTCAGTTATCAATGCAAACTTAAAAAAAAAAAGGATAATTTGGTAAGTAAATAAATAAAATTTAATGCAAAATTTTTTTTGGGACTTTAAAATAATTTCATGATTTTAAGGGACTTTTTTGTATTTAATTCCCTTGAGTGGGACCTAATTGCCATTTTCCCTAAATAAAAAGTATAAGTATTATAAATATAATAAAAAATAAAAAATAGGTATAATTACCAATTGTTTTTAATAAAAATGAAACTGTTTATTAATTAATATTTACATAAAATAATAAAATGAAACAGAAATATTTAATATTATATTACATATATGTGTGCACGTTTCCATATACTATCTCCACATTATATTACATTATACTATCATCCCCATCTAACTAACAAAGGCTTTTGCATTAATTATATACTATCTTTGGTCCTAAATATAAGAATTAATTGACTAATTTTAGTAGATTAGGGAAATAAGTTAAGTTAGTTATATATAATAAAGAAATATTGTTTTTCCTAAAATATCCTTACTAATCAAGTTTATTGGTTAGAACTATCATTATTAGAATGACTATTTGGGAAAAAATGAATAAGTATGAGAGACAAAGGAATTGGAATCTTATATTTAGGATCAAAATAAAAGTCAAACTAGGTCTTATATTAAAGACCGGAGGTAGTATGTAGGAAAAAATTATACACGAAAAAAATGCTTGTATTAATTAATTATATGAAAAATTGGGGGAAAGTCCCCATTAAAAATTTTATTGGTAGAACAGACATAATAAATTTTTATACACAAAAGAGATCGATACTTTGCTAATTTTATGTCTGTACTAATTTGAGTCTTTCTCATTAATAAAACTTTTAATAGGAGATTTTTTTGTCAATTTTTCATAAAATATAAATAATATTAGTAGTAGTATTTTTTTATACCAACAAGAGTTAATTGGTGTTTGGGTGTCATTCCAAACCATGATTTGGGGACTCAAATACCCCTCAATTTTTTGAAATAATGGTTTTATTATAAAACTATGGTTTACCTGTCAAAACCATGGTTTCGCTGTAAGTGAAAATTTTCCGCTTTTTGAATGATGATGTTGTCAGCGATAGTGAGGAGCCTCATCACTGTAACTTCACGCCTCACATTTATCGTTCTTTCTCCTCCCCAATTCTTTTTGCTTTTTGACCAGTCTTCCTCCTCTTAAAATAATATTTTTTTATTGAATTTGTTTTTCATTTTTTTAAAACATATTTAATCTTATATTTTATAAATATATGTAAAATTATTAACAATTAATTAATACATATATTAACAATTATTAATTATATTGGTAAAAAATATATTATTAACAATTTTATTCCTTCAAATTAAAATATATTATAAAATCTATCTTTTATGTAATTATTATATTAACTTATACTTTTTTTAGTAATTTGCATATATAAAAAGTGTTTCTGATAATAACTATCCAAACACTTTCATTTCTTAGAATCACTTTTCACAAAATCTATTCTTCACAAAACCTAACCTTGAAAAGTGCTTCTTAGAAGCACTTTTCTGCAAATCGAGATAAACTCCTCTACATATTTACCTCATAGACTGTAAAATCACTTCTGAAACCATGGTTTGATTTCCATCCAAATACTCTCAGAATTTATTCTCCAGAAGCTATTCTCCAAACCATAGTTTGGTTTCATCCAAACACTCTCTTAATCCAGTTGGTAAAGAGTTAGTTCATAACCCATAAAAGCATAAGTTCGGGATATACCTTGGTCCTAATGGTTTCTCCGGACTTAATTCATCAAAATTTTTTTTTACCAAAAAAAAAAAGGTAATGTTCTTTTACTTGACATAAAAAATGTTTTTTTTTGCTAGTTACCCCGCCGCCAGAAAGGCGCCTCTCTTTTGAGTTGTCGGTTTGTTGTTATTCTACTATCTACAGTACTACTTCCATCTTTAATATAAGATTTTATTTAATTTTTATTTTAATTCTAATTATAAGACATTAATTTATTTTGTCTCTTATATTTATGTAATATTGATCCTTAATATAAGATTTTATTTGACTTTTATTTTAGTTCTAATTATAAGACGTTAATATATTTTGTCTCTTATATTTATGTATTACCAATCCTTAATATAAGACTTTATTTGACTTTTAGTTTAGTTCTAATTATAAGACGTTAATTCATTTTGTCTCTTATATTAATGTATTTTTTTCTAAAATAATTCTTCTAATAATGATAATTCTAGTCAATAAAAATTGACTAGTAAGAATATTTTAAAAAAGACAATATTTATTTATTACAAATAACTAATTTAACTTATTTTTTAATTTCTTTAAATTAGTTAACTAATTTTTATAATTATAAATCAACTAATTCTTATAATTATAATTAGCACGCGAGGTAGGATTACGCCCACGTTTGAAAAGTGGAATACGGAAGTGACATCAATGCAATCTGATAAGATGTTCTTCTGCTGAAGGATCCACAGTCAACACCCCGCAACTTCTGGCTAAGACGAACCAAGAAGCTAGAAAATTTGCGAAAGAAAACGAACTCTCAAACTTCAAATCTTCAATTCCAGTGGAAACAAATCGAAATTTACAGAAGGGAAGAAGCCGGAAGTAATAACGCCACTGTTAGGGTTTGACTGAGATACCGCACGGTGCTGGAGTGTCGGCCACTTGATAGGTGGGAACCTTGTCCATTTCTGACCTCTTCTTGCTTTTCTTTACCATCGTTTCTCATTAGTCATTACCATACATTAATTAATTGCTTTGGGCCGTGGGATTGCGGATTACTAATAAAGCATTTGTCGAGTCTGTTGTGGTTCATTTGGTTCTTCCTTCATTGTTCGAGTTTGAGGTTTGCCATCATGCTTTTCATCTTTGGGACCGATTTCAATTGCTTGAACAAGACGGGTAAAAATTGTGATTCCCAAATGTTGAACTTATTGCGCTCTTTTTGAGTTTTCGAAGAACGATGTATGGCATTAATTGAAATGAAATTTATTATGAGTATGCATGACTCAATCAATATTGAGTTGTCATTTAAGCCAATGGACTTTTTTCTTCCTTGTTCACTTTTCCTTTCACCCTTCTGAACAAAATGGACTTGTCATGTAATGATCGTAAGGGGATGATCTTGGGTGAAGATAACTGCTTGAAACTTATCCGCTTTATTTTCTTGAAAACGATCTTGTCGGTTTTGCATAGGAATATTTCTGTTCATTGGTAGTTTTTTGCCTCTACAATTTCTTGAAAACATATCTAAATTCTTTGTGAAATTATTTGTTCTGCTTGACGATTTCTTGATGTTGCGTTTTGCGTTGGACTGTTATATTATCCATTTTGTACTCTAGTTGCAATTCGTTTGATTTGATGACAGATTGATTGGGAGATGTCTTCTGATAGTGCAAAGGAAAATGCATCTGTAGTTGATTCATCAGTGTCTGAATGGAAGCTGGACATTGGAAATTCAGACGATCCAGGTGGTGATTATGTTTGTTCTCTTGTCTCAAAAATATCATGGTAACTGTGAGGCTGCTTTGTCTTCTGCGTGTTATTCTGTGTTCAGTACTGTTATCTTTAGACAGTCAATATGAAGCGGATGCTAATGTGATACTAATCGTTTTCTCCTATTATGATTTGCTATAATACTTCGTAAAACTTGTGAGCATAGAATTTGTGGTTAGGATGAAATGAAAATGTTTATGATTTTCTTCCTGGGTTAGTGTCACTCTACATCTTTAGCGACATAATTTGAGTATACTGTGATGCATAGGAAAAACATTTGATGTATGAATATATCTATGCAAATAAACAGGCATGTCACATGCTTCAGTTTTATTTTTATTTTTCTTTGGGTTCATAGAAACCTTGATCCTTCAAGTTTTCCCTCATTTGTTTTTGGTCCCTCAAATTTTAAATCATAGGTTTTGGTCCCAAAGTTTCTTTTTATTTAAATATTGGTCTCTATAATCCAATAAAAACTTGGAGAATTTTGCCCATAGAGGGACCAAAACCTATGGTTTGAAATTTGAAGGACCGAAATCAAAATGAGGGCAAACTTAAGGGACTGAAGATTATATTAACCCTCCTTTTTTTTTTTTTTCAAGTTTTCATTCCCTTTCCCTTTTGGTTTATAATTAGTTTGTAATTCTTCTCTTAGAGAGCTCAAGTTACAAGGCTAATGAGGATGGTGATCCAACTAGGGCAGATAAAGTGGAATGTTCTCATCATCATATAGGAGATCAAAATGGAATGGGGATGCAAAAATTATATTCTACAAGATATTTTATCATTAAAAGTTTAAACCACCAAAATATCCGTTTGTCAGTAGAGAAAGGAGTTTGGGCTACTCAAATCATGAATGAGTCAATTCTGGAAGAGGCCTTTCATGTAAGATCCCTTAATTTCTGATATTAACTTATACTAATACTGTTAGAAATTCATATTGGCTTTAGGTTTTAGAGTCTAGAATATAAATGAATTGCAGTTAAAAAAAAATAAATAAATAAAGAAAACCTTTCTTGAGAAGCATTTGGTTGTCTTGCAGAATTCGATTAAAGTAATCCTTATATTTAGTGTCAACATGAGTGGATACTTCCAAGGATACGCACAAATGATGTCTTCTGTTGGGTGGAAGAGAGAAGATGTTTGGAGTGAAGGAAGCGGTAAAGGTAATCCATGGGGTCGCAGCTTTAACATCAAATGGCTGCGGTTAAATGACTTACCTTTTCATAAGACTCTTCATCTCAAGAATCCATTGAATGACTATAAACCTGTCAAAATTAGCAGAGATTGCCAGGTTTCCTTTATATCGAGAGCCTTTTCTTTTTCTTGTTTTCCCTTCTACATCTAGGATTTTGAAAAACTGTGCACATGTTGTACGACTGAGTTACATATTCTTTCCAGGAGTTAACTCCAGATATTGGTCAAGCCCTTTGTGAGCTTATTAATGGGAATAATAATATAGCTGCCATGCGGAGCAGGTAAAACCTTCTAATGTGTTGTTTAGCTACATTTTTAGGAGGCTTCCTGCTTACTGGTTTCTGCATTTGCAGTTCACCCTTGGATAGTTTTACTTTGAAGGGACATTCTGGGAATGTTGAAAGGTTAATGGGAAATAAAGATCGTAGCTTTTACCTGCCATGGTCAATACCCATGGCTTATCCTTCACTGCTTTGCCCTAATGAAGCTGGAGCAAATCAGAGATTCAATTTGACAACTTCCAGTGAAACATTTCCTACCTCTTCTGGGTCGTTAAAAGTAGCAGGAACCAAACGCCCTCATTTTAGTGCAAATATTCCTAAGCTACAAGTGGACAAGGATGTGGCTTCTCAATTTGATGTTTGGGGTTTCTCTGCGGAAAGCCCTCTAGCTAGTACCTTAACAGAGGATGATTTTCTTGAGATGGTGAAAGTTATTTGTGCTTCTCTTTATCAAGTCCTTTCCTTTCCTAAAAAAGAAAATCCCACCCCTGTTTATTTGACTACACCTAAGAAAACAGCCTTAAGGGATGATTTGCAATCATATAAACTATGCAACGACATGGCAGTCTTTGATGGAGGACTGCTGATGACATGTGGCAAACATTTGAAGTAACATCAGTTTTGTAACAAATATCAGTGTTGTCATGCTGTACTTTTCTTCTGCTCATTGTTTGTTACTTCCATGTGCAGTCCTATGAAGAATACCTGGAGGTCCAAAGCAGATGCAGGAAGCAGTTTTGCTCCAATGTGAGTTTGCAGACCAACAGCATTTCACTACTTTTCATGTTTTGTCAATCGCATGACGCCATGATTAAACCATTAAAATTCTTATAGGCAGCGACAATGTCGGGGAAACAGCCGGAGTCGCTGAGAAGTAAATCAGATGTCAATGATAGGTGAGAGACCTTCATTAATTGCCTCTTTTTAGTTACCTAAGGCCCCAACTTTTTACAGCCAAAATAGTGTTCATTTACAGGGATCATGTGTTTTGCAGGAAGTCAGAGTTTTTGATGGAAGGTAGTAGCAGCTTTCATAGGAGGGTTCATCAGTAAGGTGGGCAATTTCCACAAACTATTACCTGCAAAAAGGAAGTTAAGTGTAATTGTAACTGATCTGGAAACTAGGACTTCGACGTTATATCTCATGTATGATACAGTATCTGAGCCACTGTAATGCGTAATCAAGGCATGCTTATCATTTTGTACAGAAACTTAGATTGGCAAAGTTGCTCCTCATGTATATGTGTACATGTATATTGTTACTCGTCCCTACAATATGATGGGCAGATACGCTTCATTCAGATTTACTGCGAGGATGTAATTTCAAAGTTAGATTCCATGCTGTTATAGGATAAATTTTTAGATAGACTGAGGTGATTGATGTTTGAGTCTAATTTTTTTCAAGTAATATTTCATTAAACTATATAAAAATAAATAAATAAGCTAAGAATTCTTTTTGTTCTTCTAAATACATGAGATTTCTCAGTCCTTAATTGATTTAAACGTTCGAAGTGATAATTTTGAAACTGAGTTGCTTTTGATGGGAACACATAAATTATCATTTGAGGTGAATGTCCAAAGGGTTGGGGACAACTTTTGAGATATTTGTTCCTGATTTGAGGCCCAATCAACAGCCGAATGCCCCAAAAGTCACCTTTTAGCAACACTTTGTAGGATCATTATTATTTTAGGGTGCGAGGATACACCATACATCGGGTCTAACCTGCATGATACATAGGATGGGTTTTGGTCAGAACCGTGTGGATGAAAACGAAATTAAGTCACAGGCTGAAGGTCTCTCCTCTCTGCATCCCAAAAGATTTAATATCAAAATTATCATGATGCACATAGGGAGCGAGTACATCTATATATTTGTTCGCTTTTCTGAAGACATTGTCCAATTCAATCCTGTATGATAAAAAGGGCAGCCTAGCACACAAGGTGTTTCACGTTCACGCAGGGTCTGGGGAAGGGCCGGATCTCATAGGATCTAATGTAGGCAGCCTTGCCTTAAAAATTATTATTTTCAAGAGGCTAATTTCATAGCTTGAACCCGTAATCTTTTGGTCACATGGAAACAATTTAACTAGTTGCTCCAAGGCTCCCCTTCTCGATCCTATATGATGGTACTAGATTTTTAATATTTCATGATATAGCTGATGAGGGGATGCTTTCGTTAAAGTTTAAAGATATCTTGTAAGTTATATTTATAACTTCTAAATAATACATTTTATCAAAGTTTAATATATTTCTTTATATTAGCCGGTTAATTGCTGACTACATATTTTTTTATATTATTCTATATTAGTAGTCCTGAGTTAGATGGGTTCTTATGTCATTACGTGAATTTTAGAAAAACAAATTACAATGTTTCATTTTGGCAATGTGGGAACAGAGTAACTTATCGTGCATTTTATAATTTTATTAATCATATTTTTATCAATATTAATATATCAAATTTATAAAATAAATTGAACTAGAAGCTGGAGAGCTCATCAACAAGAGATAAGTTATTCCTATTTAATCATAACACACCAGGTTTAGAATGTCTTGCAACTTGACCCATACTTGAATTTCTAACACTCCATGTCCTCTTGGACTTTTCAAATGCATTTTGGAATTTCTCAATTTGAAGGTTGATGGTAATAGTGTGATTAACTATGGTTATAAGAGTTAGCATTTGTAGTAAGTGTATCATACGTTATAATTAATTTTGTGTGCACTTGATTGATGTGAATATGCATTAGAGTGGTAGATTGATGGAAGGGTCTTTGGGCTTAATTCTTATCCTTTAGTTGAGTGTTTCACCAACTATTTTAGGTTTCTACTGAACTAGGGCCTTTGTATACGTATGTAGGAAAGAAGCCCAATATATAATAGTGGGTTGGGTATGTGACTGAGGGTAATTGTGGAAAGGGGGGGTTGGCAGCTAGTGACTCAGGGTATTTGATGTTAGGGTAGTCGTTAGGGGGGCACAAAAATTGTTAGAGTTGTGAGGAGAGTGGTGCTTCTCGAATGCACTAGGCTACTAGGTTTCCTTTTGGCTGTATCCTTCCATTAGGTTATACCCTGTGGATTGGTTCCTTTTCTAGTGAATAATACAGTTTCCCTAGAGTAGTTTCCACCAAAAGTATCAGAGTAGTAACGACTGGGAATGGTTAATACTCGAACAATAGAGGATTTGAATACTCGAGTGACTCATAATGAAGAAAGGGTAGCATAGCTAATTGATAACATGGCTATTCTTAAATCGATGGTTGAAGATGTCTTGTAAGAACTACGATTGAAGAAGGGACAGGAGAATGGGGAGCAATCAACACTGGAATCTTCCGTCCCGAAAAATAGCCACATTGGTCTTAAGGTTGTCGAGATAGAGGATAAGAGTGGAGCTGAAGAGTTTGACCATTTTGCATTTTAGAAACTTGATATGCGAGGAGCCTCTGGGGTGGATCTTTAAGATTGAATGTTATTTCAAAATTAATACGGTGCCTGATAGTGATAAGTTAGATGTGACGGTATTGTGTTTTGAGGTTCGAGCATTGAATTGGTTCTAATGGAAGGAGACACGATCACCCGTTTCAAATTGGCCGAACCTAAAGCAAGATTTGATTTTCATATTTCATCCATCACAATATGGTAACACATATGAGATGCTGATGGCACTCTGGCAAACTTGATTCATGCCAGATTATATCAAGCGTTTTGAATTGATTTTTGCTACATTGGACCATTGTGACGATGAAGTTCTGATTACTGCATTCTTCAATAGAGTTAGGGTAGAAGTCAAGGCTGATTTGCGTTTGATGAAGTTGGGTTCCTTTACAGAGCTTATGGACATGTCATTAAGGCTGGAGAGAGGAATTGGGTCATGACCTAACATCCATATGCACGAGGCTTTGGGCCGCAGCGCAACTGGGCTGAAGAGAAAGGGGGCCCTGACCTGGTTAAATCATCTTCCCCATCCTCAGTGAGCTTGATTTCCGAATCAAAGGCTGTTGAATCCTCCAAATCGGTGGTGATTCTAGTAACGCACACAAGCAAGATGGTTCTGAAGAGGTTCATAGATGCTAAGATCGAGTGAAGATGCGAGCTAGGGCTATACTTCAAATACGATGAAAAGTTTCATCCTAGGCACTATTGTAAGAAGAAACAACTACAAGTCTTAGTACTGGCAGAGGATGCTGAGATCAATGATGCTTCCCTTATATCACCAGAAAATGCGATACCTAAGGTGCCGGAATCGACCCTGGAAGAAGTTGCTGCTCCAGAGGGCTAATCGATATCCTTATCATTGAATGCCTTAGCTAGTTTTACAGGTGGAAAAACTATCAAACTCATGGGGACAATCTATAGTCGAGATGTACTTATCCTTATCGATTGTAGAGCTACACACTGTTTCATTCATAGGATCTAGTTGACGAGAGCCTTTCTTGTCGTTCGCCTTGGGGTTCTCAATCAAAAATAAATCCAAGCTATGCAGTATAGTGCAAACTCAGGTCGTTTCACTTTTGGGAGCCTTTATTAATTACCTAAGCTAGACTAAATGCCATGCAATGCAATGAAATGGGGTTTTGGGTTTTTAAGATTTAAATGAATTGATCCAAAACTGAATGCAATGAAAACAAACCTAAGATACTATATTTTTGGTGTTTTAAGATAATAATGATGTAATGGAAATGATTGATAGGAAATCTCTTGAAAATGGTTTTGATGGCAATCATAGTTCACTTAAATATTGGGAGTTTCACAAATCCATTAGGTTTTCTTAATAAGAACCTCATTAACTCAATGAGTCCAAAGCTTACATTAATGAACTCATTAATGTAAACTTTGTTTAGCTTCCCTAATGTGTAAATTGGAATGATCATGCAAATGGCTTAATGAAACACACAATCAACTCAATACCCAAACACAACTAGGCAAGATAAGAGAGAATCATGAGAGAGACATTAAGCATACATGCAACTACATATATTTAAGCTCAAAGTTCAACATCAATCAATCCAATATACAAAAGATAATCAATAACCACTGATTACAGAATTAATCAAAGTATCTAACTAAGAGTTTACAATTCCTAGACCTAGGAAATCATAAATGCCTAGCTAAAAACTGAAGATTAAAACTAAAACTCTCCTTTGAAGCTTAGGAACTCATGCTACTCCACCATCTTCAAGAGTTGATAAACCCTAGCCCTCCATAGCTTCAAGAAAAGCTCCAACTGAAGTGAATCCGTCGGCCATGGTAGCTGGGAGTGGAAGGAAATGAGATGGAGTGAAGGAAAGATGAAGGAAATGGATGGGGAAGAAGATGGAGATGGAGAGGCAAGAGGATGGGAGAATAGAGGTGTTGGAGGAGATGGAATGGAGTGTATGGTTGAAAATAGGGTTTCTAAGGGTTTTAGGGGTCCATCTGGGTCGGATCATATGATTAGAAGCTCCATTTTCGCGTTCTGATCCGGATCTGGCGTTGCTGATACGAAGAGTTTGCCGCGGCGAAGGAAATCCTTCGCCGCGGCGAAGCATGCTCGAGAGGAGCTCCGCCTAATCTTGTGATTTCGCCGCGGCGAAGCTGTAAGTTGGCCGCGGCGAACTCTGCCCGAGAGATTACTGGTGAGATTTCAATTTGGCACCACGGCGAAGAGAATCTTCGCCGCGGCGAACTCTATTAGTGCTGATACTCTGATCTTGTGTTGTGTCATCCTTTGGTCTTTGATCTTGGCTCCAATTCTCAATTGTCCTACAATAAAAAGCAACAATTTGAAGCATCAATTGTCCTAGAAATCAACTGAATACAATTAATAACCAATTATGACAATCTTAACCTAAAAAAGACACTAACTTAAAGCAAGGACTCTTAATCTAAATTAAGCACAATTATCATCAAAAGGAGCCAAAATCTATGATAAATACCCTTAAAATGATATGAAATAACATAGAATAATTGGGCTAAATCACTAGTCCACTCTCTGTCTCTTCCTCTTGATTCGTGTGTCACTTTCACAATACAAGTAGGAGATTTGTGCAACTTATACGGGTGTGGCGTCTGTTGAAATATCTCAATTATGGTCCAAGGTCTCCATATCATTCACTCCTTGTACCAATTTAAGTTGGGAGGTTTTGATATCATTTTGGGGGCTAATTGATTGGCATCATTGGATAAGGTCTTGGTGAGCTAGAAGCACTCAACACTGAAAATCAATATGGGGATGAGTGGATTTGTCTTAAAGGTAATCTGGCCTTGCAGAAGACACCCATGTCTTTTAACTCTCTTTGCTAGTCTACTCAAGGTGATGAAGAGGTCTTTTCTGTGGAATTTTTTGAATTAAAGATGATTGAGATCGTAGTGGCACTACTAGATGAGGATGTTAAA